CCGCCCCGCAGGGCTCCCCCCCCCCCCCCCCCCCTCCCCTGTCCGATCCTCCAGCGCTGACTGGCGAAAAGGAGGGGGGTGGGCACAGTTGGCTCTGCCCCTTAGGCAGAGCCAGCTGTCAATCGCGTAGCTGGCTGGATCCAGACAGTATTGTCGGGATCCGTCCTAGCTGCGACGTCTCAGTATACCGCAAGCTGTAGCTCGTGGTATACTGAGCTTTGGGTCACGGGAGGACGCTAGTTTGTGTTCTCCCTTGACCCTTTGGAGAACTATGGGGAAAAGCCCTGACCTCATAGTTTTCCTTTTAAGATTGAATTTGGAGTGCTTGCTTCTCATTTTGTATTTGGATGGGTCCTTGGTTGGCCATTTAGGAACGTGTGTAGGATGACTCTCTAAACATGTCTCTTCATTAGAAATACTGACAGAGGGTTCTATCCCTTTCCCATTCTATCCAAAGGTAGAAAAAAATGTTTCACTGAAGTTGTGCTTTTCAAGGGCCAATAAAATAAGCTACTAATTCCCCAAATATATGCATGGGTAACGGCAGTTTTGTTTGTTAGCAATGATATAAGGTGCTATAAAATTAGAAAACAAAGTACCAGTCTTTCATTTCTTCTATGGTACTGCTGAGTAGTGATGGGCTCGGGCGTGTTCGCAGCTCCACGTGTCGAGCCCGCCAGGAAGCTGACAGCGCCGCAGAGCCAATCACAGGTACTGAGCCATTTCCCGATCTCTGCAGCTGCGGCCCGGGAACCTGTGATTGGCGCTGCGACGCTGTCAACTTCCTGGCAGGCTTGGCACGTGGAGCTGCGAACACGCCCGAGCCCATCACTACTGCTGAGCAGGAATTCATCTGTAGAAAAATCTCTTTGTGCTGCAGATCTTTTACTTTGTGTTCTGAAAATCTCCTAAAACTATTACATAATAACCACTAAATGGTATGAAAAAATACATTAAATTTCAATTTAGAAAATTAGATTTTCTAACATGTTAATGTCATTTAACATGTTCCTAACATGTAAAGCATGTTTAATGTTTTAAAATCTGCATCTTCTTTAAAATAATACCTGGTAACTCTGCCATGTAGATCCTTGCTGTGGCACTTCCTGCTATAGGGTGTCAACGCTGGGTCCCTGTCTCCCGGCTTTATTTAATGGAGACTACAAGTGGCTGTGCTGATACATATTACAAGGCATGTTTGACTGCAGTCAACATCTGGAAACATGAAACCATGTTTGGGGTGCATGCATGTAGACAGGAAGTGGCTACAATGAGGCTACAGAAGATCGGCACAGCTAGTATGCAACAAAGGATGAATAAAAGGTGAAAACTAAATTCTAATTTGTTTTAAAGGGGGAATTTGTTTCTGGCACAAAGTGCTTTAGCAAACTAGTTGTCTTTCAGTTAGTGGTTACATCTGATTTAATGTTTTCTTTGATAGTAATTCTTGTTTTATTGTGTTTTTATTTAGGATCACCACCCCTCTCAGCAGGGACAAGTTGGCCTGCATGGAATTTACCTGCGGGCCTTCTGTAGAGGTCTGGACTCAATCCTACAGCCATACAGACAAGCTTTATTAGACTTGGAGCAAGAGGTATACAGACATCTGAAGTGAAATAGAACAATGTAAAGCTTGTGTGCTTTACATATGAAAATTAATTATTTGCACTCTTACCTGGTAGAAGTTGGTGTTCAAACTGCTCCTGGGGCCTGGAAGCTGACATTTTCTGGCATACTGCCCACTAGTTCTGGGACTGTGAAGTTCTGGTCAGATTAAGTGCAAGTGATGTCACTTCTCTGGGATACAGCCCAAGAGCCCGTAGTGGACATGTTCTTTTGCTTGTTTTTGTTTCTCATTGTTCTTATCTTGTTTTGTTTTAAATGCAGTTCCTGGCTGACCCACATCTCTCCATTTCACATATCAACTACTCTCTGGATCAGGTGGGTATTTCCTAGTAACTGGTATCATTATTTCTATTGGTCTGTGTATGTGAACCTGGTGAAGCCAAGCGTTGGAAGGTGTGAGACCTAATGCAAACTTGGACTAAGGTTTATAATCTAAAGCTGAAATTGGAAGGATTCCACATCCCTTGATCTCTGCAATTCAGCTTTACTGATTATTTTTTTAGACCATAACAGTTTCACTTTAATTGCTGCTGCATTACTTGTTAAAGGGCACCTGTAGAGAGAAATATACCGGCTGCCATTGTTGACCTCTAAAAAAAAAAAAAAAAC